TATACAGTAGCTCCAAATTAAAGCAATGTGTGTAACACGTTTTTAGGAAAGCCGATAGACATCTCTAATGCTTTCATCTAATGCTTTTCTAAAAATGCAATCATAAGGCATTCAAATTCATTGTAGTACAGTTTGTATTAACAAACATTATTGTGTCTAACTGCATTAGTGGCAAATTGAACGCCATGCATTTCTTTTACTAATCGATGTGCATTTTAATAATTTGTTATTTTGAGCGTTTCATTTATTCAAAGTATGATCTACTGCAACCCTTACACGACTATGAAATGTTTAATTAGTGGTTTATTGCTATCCTTCCATAATCAACGACCCTATAAATTATGTCAGTGACATGTTTAAAACTGATTACTATAAGGTTTTACGAAGTCAACATGCGTAGTATACGGGAATTCTGTCTAAACATCTAGGGAACCGAATGTTTTCCATGATTCATCGTTATTTTATAGGATCCTGAAGCATTGGCGGAATACTGTGCACAACCACAGAATCGAGATGTCTGCGAACAACTTCTAGCATCATTAGTCGCTGAGGAACAGGAGGCAATGCCAATGGTATCGTTATTTCATTTTATGAGATTTGCTACTTCCTTCAAGCCATAATATGTTGACGCTGATTCTTAACTCGAGAAGCCTCCAACTCTGTGGAAGCTCCATTTTTCCCAGGATGACAATATAATCCTGAACGAAGAAAACTTTCCTAATAATATAGTCTATCCAGACACGGATTTACGCACGATACATCAACAAGGGGTTGACTGGGGGGATGCGATGTTGAGTAGGGAGCATGAACTAGCAGAGCTGCAGATATTGGGTTGAGGAATAAGTTCGTGGAGTTATTTTGTCAAAAACTTTCATTTAAACAAAAATCAATGGTTTTAGCAATAATTCAACTGATGTCAAAATCGCCATTCTGAAACTTTACAAACCATTTACGTGTTGTAGACTCGGCTATGACATCTTCTCCGTAAGCGCTGCAGATCTCCCGGGCTGCCTCAGCAGCGTTTTGGCCTCGATAAAATGCGAAAAACAGCAGCTGTCGAAAATGCTTATTTTTACCGT